GACATCCATAAGGGAAAGTAATACTTTCAAAGAGATGCAAAGTACTGAGCATTAAGGCTTAAGTTGTATTATAAACCCATCAAGTCTTTTACTCTGCACTAATTTCACCCTAAATGTTTTATAACCCACTCACGGTGGTGGTTGCTACAAGTAAGACACACATGCTCATGTTAGGCTCAGTGGACCACTGTATTACTGTGGCATAAGATGTACATTTGTGGCATAAATGAGGATGCTTATATGTTATTTAGACTTTTAGAAAAGGCTGTTTTACTGTTGGCTGAGAAAAGGCCCATCTGCCCTAAATAACATGATAGCTCATTTGCTTTCCGCTGTTTAAATAGTGTAGACACAATCTAAATGCTTAAACAGTCCAGTTATTTCATTGCACTTCCTCATGAGCATTGCAGATGTAAAAACGAAAAATACACACAACTGATTACTCCCAGGTCACATACCTTGTGTGTGAACTGCTGTAAATGTTGCAAAGATTATCTGTAAGATCCTCCAGCTCTGGTAATAAAGGCTCATTTTGGCATCCGGCTCGGTTCCCTGTTGAAGTCAAGTTCCCGTCAGTGATGTTTAGTTTTGTTTCAGCAGAGTATGGGACGGACCGTTTCACCCATTCCTGCAGTTCGCTAACTTAAAATAATCACACCTGTGGGAGTATAGGTTGTAGCGCTGAAGTGTAACATGGACCCCGAATCAAGGTCTGCTCGTCGGTAGGTCCACGGTTGTGCGTAAAAGTTGCGCGTAACGATCCTGGAGACGTTTCACCTAAAGCATTTGTGTCCTGCCGGGAGATGTGGAGACCTTGAGCTAAAACTGCGCGATTGGCGTGATGGAGAAGGTTCAGCTGTTCTTCTAATTAAATAATATCAACAAGTCCTCCAGACCGAGTCGGTCTCCCACTCTGCCGCGGCGGCTGGGATGCTGCGATGTTAAATGACTTTTAGATCGCTGACTGTCTTGTGCGCAATCCTAGGGACACTAAACTCATCATCTGTCACTGTTCATGCGCTCCGAAAGCCACGTCCAGTATGCAGCTGGGAGGATTAACCCTGCACTGGATGTAAAGTCAAAAGGAATGATCAAACGTGACGTATTTAGCGTCTACTGATGTTTGATCACGTAATCTTGTAATGCGGGGCTTCGGTGTAGGCTGACCTAAAGTCAGCCTACACCGAAGCCTAGTACTTTCTATTGTCATTATAAAAGATGAATATTCAGATCTACAGCGGAAGCTGGATGTAATGGTGTATTGAAGGTTACTTTACCCAGCACGTCTTAATAATGAATGGCTGAGGAAGAATGAATGAATGAATGAATGAATAACATGAACATATCCCAAAAATACAGCTTTTTCAGTGGTAAAAATGAAATAAAATACAACATTTCTGAAAATATTATTTATTTATGTTTTACTTAATGATTGTTCTCTTATAATGGAGGATATATTCTGTTGATACACTGCATCCCCAAACCATTAGGAAAACAGTAACTACAGCTTCCCCTGGATTTTTACAATTTTCTACTGCACATTTTCATAAAACTTCCTGCCTTGCTAAAAATGTACATTTATTATTCTGCACCCAAATTTATATGTGATTTTCTGCAAAGAAAGTTCAGATTCTGCAACCTTGTCAGAACTTAACAGGTTGAGTGCATGTACTGTGATTGATAATCACACTTTAAACTCATCCAGGGCAAATCAGGCTAATTAGGACATATCTGTATCACTCATACCTGATTATTATGGCTCATTAAGGGGATTTTTCTTCTCTGGTTGTAAAAATAAATTAGAAGTTTTACAGATTTTTTCATTCTGCCCATAAAATATACATTAGCTTTAATTCCAGTGGTATTTAGATTCTATTGGGCTCTGAACATTGGAGAGCATCAGGTGGATTTTTGGTGCCCTCTGATGGTTAAGCAGGGTTTATATGTCACTAAAGCAAAGGTAAGGAACTGCCTATTGCTTGCAGCCCAGTTGCATCAGAAATTATTAGGTTTCAACTCATTTTAGCTCATTTTGTTAACAGGAAGCCTGATGAGTAGAAGAGTAGAATTCAAATTCATGCACATATTAGGATCAGGTGCTCTGTGAGAGTGATGATAATGCTTTTAACACCAGGGAGCAAATTTTAGCAGGTTGAAACACAACTGTCCATCAGCCTTTAGAAACAGTTCTCACTCCAACAAACTTACTTGTTTGCAGACTTGTAGTGCTAAATGTTATGGGGCTTTATTGACTAATAAAGAGGATTAGCCAACATGCCAACACACAAAGTGTGCGACCAAACCTCACAGTATTGGGAGAAAGGAGGAAGTTGCCACAAGCTACTGTTATGAGCTTATTTCAGCTCCTCCCTATCACTGCAGCACTGTGATAAGCAGCAACAGCAGCAGAAGCAGCATCTGTGTATTGGAGTTGCTCCGGTGTGCTGTAATGCTGCCGTAGGATAATTTAGATCCTTTCCTATTTACCTGCTCCTCACATACAGAGAAACAACAACTACACGTATCCCCCAAACTGGTGCTGCACCGTACATACACCCTTAGTGTTTCAGGCACTTTCATTCTTACAAACACAGACCTGGAGACTCTATACAGAGGACATGAATACTTGTCATACATGCAGACAGGCACAAATATTCCATCCAGCAGGCCTAAACACAATTTCCCTGCTGCTGTATGTAAATTAGACAGTTTTGACTTGAGGACTTGGCAGCTGAATGGTTGAGTAATTGCCCAACCAAATCTTTCTCATTAAAATTGCAGAGGCATGCTCTTGTATGGAAACATCCTTTTTAGTCACCTGATGTAACACATAACACAAATCACTTGTCAGAAGTGTCATGCATTCACTCACCATTTAACATGACATTAAGCTGCATGGAAAAAAAGAGTCTGTGACCTTCTTTTAACAATTCCATACAGTAGAAGAAGCCCCCAGAATAGCTCACAGATGCAGAGAAAACATATGGTGAAACCTGTCAAGAATATGTTATGAACACTTAACAAAGAAACAAGGCAGGCCCCCGGATATGCGAGTTAGGATGCTGACATAGATGGATGCCATAGCAGAGATGTGCTAGAGTGGGGAGGGTGGCCATAAACTGGTGATAGATGTGACTGCCACAAGGAAGGGAATGCATTTTCAATGTACATCATCCTTCTGTTTGACAGATAGAGGTAGCTGCTGCTGAGGTGCATTTAGCCACAA